TTTTTTTTGTGAGTTCGTGGACGCACTATCTAAAACATTTCCTATGCCTTCAGTAGAATATAATTTTCATCATACCTGGCAGTTACTTGGCGAAGCGCATTGAGAAGACGACCAGGACGAAAGAGCTGCGAAAAGTTCAGTGGAGTTTTTAAGAAGTTGCCCTGTTCCGAACGAAGCACCAGTTCTTGTACAGACTTTGCCTGAAAAAAAAAACCGGAAAATTGATTAGATGCGGTGAAAGGGTGATGCTGTACCTTGTAAATTAGCGTAGACAAAAATTCGGCTGGCTCTTTTGGCCCTAGCCACAGGTCGCGCCAATGATCTGGTGTCTGGAATGCGTAAAATTAGATTGTTCATATTTGAAGCTCATTCATATACTTTAATTTATGCTCAAAACTGACCTGGTGCAGCTGTAAGCTGTTAATCACTTCCAGGGTAATCTTATCCGGTGTTACCGTTCCACGTATACTTTTACTTACCATTGTAAGGCTAGCGTGGAGTTTTTGCACCTGAACTGCCTTATTAGTGTAATGCAAGTAAACACTTGCTTTTGCTATCATAAACGAATAACTTCTCGAAGATTTTTGAAAAACTCACGAGTCTGATTGCATGGATATACTCTAATGATATGACTTCAGCAATCGGATCTGAAGATTCTTTCGAAATGGGCACCTAAAAATTTGTTCGGTAGTTGCACTTTTTTCCTGAATAATAGACCTGTCTGCTGTGAAGATCACTTCCTTGACAAAGCCTTTTCCACAAATGTAATATTGGCGTGCAGGATTCGGCCCAGCTGTTGCGATCATTACCAGCACCCGTTGTCACTACGAGATATTTTTAATTTCGCATTTTGAATGATGTAATATGCAAACCTGCGCTTCGTATTCTGGCTATTGTATTCTCAGCTTCTGTCAATTCCCATGAAAATTTGATATTTACTGGAAGTCCAAAAAGAACTGGATCGTCTTCTGCAGGTACCGCAGTAGTGATGAATTTTTGATAATCCTGGAGAAACGTTCGGAAGTCGCGGAATAACTAAGGCCTTGATGCTACTTACCCTGATATTATCCAAAACTGGTAGTTCTACACCTCTGGCAAGAGATTGGCCAGAGCGGCCAGTAACTTTTTCACTGGTGAAAAATGTCATCAAGTAGGAGTCAAGCACTTGACTATCAAATACGTTCTCTAGGCGTCCACCATAGATGACATACATCAGCAGCCCTCGTATAAACTCCCAATCAGCTTCTAAATTCGGGTTTCTTAGTTAGCTTTCTCGCCGCAGGAAATGCTATCTTGTCATCTCCAGAAATTCATATTTGAATCTTGTTTCAAATAAGTGATACAGAATGACTTTTCTGAAAAGAAATTGCCACAAAAATGTGAAGATTGTTGCGGATGATCCGGATGGGACTTATCAAGTGGACCTCGGTATTTCAGAATGTTAATTTCTCATTCAGTGGCATCATTTGCTGTACTATTAA